AAATATTGGAATATGTTTCCATTCTGTGTTTACCTCTTGATGTACGGTCCCAGGTAGCTGTGCAGAACGGTGGAGGTTGTGAGGAGGCACGACTCCGGCAGAGAAATAATCAGCTGACCGGGCTGCCACACAAACACCCACAGATAAAGCTTTAACATTCAAACGTCACTACAGGATCTACACTTGATCCTGTAACTACTGTAACCAAACAGTAACCAATTCAAATGTTTAAAACACACATAAATAAATCATTAACTGCCAAACAGATCGAGCACAAAACCTATAAGAAAGCTATATAAACAATATACAGTTATTTCATTATGAATAATATAAAGCTTAATATTAAAATAACATGTTGTGCATATGTCAGCGTGTGCTTTGTGATGGTTTTAAATGTATGCTCATGTTTCAGTTAGAATTCAGAATTACTGCTAATATCAGGCACGTGGTCACAAAGAAGGTGAACAAGTGGATGTTGAGTTTAACAAAATATGATCAAAGTTAAAAAAAGTAATTTTAATAAACCATTAAATCATTTATTTCTAACATTATAAGACTTTCATAACAACTTCAACCTGTCAGCGACTTGCTATGTTTATTCCCTGAAGTTTCCACATTGTGATTTTCAAAATAAAATAACATTTTTGATTTTTTTTTTTCTCCTGAAGATGCAAAAAGTTCAGAATATATGTTGATAAAAATGTGGCATTTAGGGAATCTGGATTACCTTAATAGTTCTGAGAGTCTGCAGTCCTCTGCCTGTGTCTGTATGAACCACATGTACATGTGAATATCATGATTTAACACACAAACTGTCTGCGTAGGTAATGTCTCTGATTGACCCAAGAAGATACCAACAGAAAACCTCCTCACAGTCATGCTCTATAAAACCAACCAGGTCTGAAAAACTCAATCCTTCAGAATCAGCTGAGGGTCAAGAGGTCACATCAGCATGTGGGACAGGTGTCTAGGGTCTCTTTGTTTGATACCAGGCTCAGCCCAGATGTCTTCTATGTCAAAACAATGATCTAATATAGTAATATTTAAATACTCATAAATGTAGCTCAGGGCTGTGAAATGCAGAGACAACACTGTATAGTAGTTTGGAAATATCCCACTGATCAAATGGTTTTAAAGAAATGTTTCAAAACTCAAAAGGCTCAGACCTGGCCCACGGGGGGTCTCACACTCATGACAACCATGCTGAAGATTCTGGCTTTAGGTGTCATACTTGGGGTGAGTATAAAACTGATTAGGGTGCTCCAGTACTTGGGAAATTGTGAAAATTTAAAAACTCTGGAATACAATAATGTGAAGTAGTTTGGAGGTCAGTTCATACAGAGTGTGTACTTCATGTCTATGTATTGTGAGAGGCTGTAACTCAGAAGACATTCATAGCATGATGGTAAAATCTGGCGTGGCTTCAATAAATATATTTAGTGTACAGAAAATCCTGATGAAGTCAGGTGGGAAGTTCTGAATGAACCTAAAATCACCCAACGAACAATGGGCAGCTTTCCTTTTCGGGTTATATGATACTCCTGAGGATGTGGAAAACAATATAGGATGTGGTACCAGTGAAGAGAGCTGGCTGAAGCAGTGTGGAGGAAAATCCTCTGTGGTGAAGAAACTTCCTGAGCTTCACATGATGCGGCTGGTGACACAGAGACACTGGAGAGACAGAGAGAGAGAGAGGCAGAGAGTCTGAGATGAGCCAGCATGCAGCACGGAAACACTTTAAATTCAAGCAATCAGCGTGTTTCTACCTGACCGGGCGCTGCTTTCGTGTTTCTGCCTCCTCTTCCGGGCAGTTCGTCCAGCTCTGTGACTGTGACCTCTCATGGTCTCTTTTTGTAGGTAAACACACGCTCATCTGGACAGCTCTCTCTATCGAAACACACAACATACGTAAGACTTTGTGAGTCTGAAGAGCACAAATAAACTGTAATCACTGTAACAGTTTTAACAATCACAAAGAACTACAAATGGACGATCGATTAAGAGACTACATGCCACATAAAAACCCTTCGGTGAGCCGCAGCACTGATCTCTAATCTGTTCTGCTGTCGTTTATTTTTATCAGATGATCCTACAAACCTTCCTAAAAGTTGATCCAAAATAGAGAGAAATGCCGAAATATTGTCCATATTAACGTGAAACTCTTCGCAGTACAGCTCATCCATAACCCAACCCACGTGTTCCACTTGTTTTTCCGGGAATGCGCACCGATCCTGCGCAGAACGCCGCCCTGCTTTTCTTCTTTTTCATTTTTTTTAACAGTCGTACATTTTCATGTGCAGCGCTTTTTGTCCTCTCTGCAGCCTCATTCGGGACCAAACCCCAGCTTCAGTAAGTGTGAGGCCTCCGCTACATCTTACAGTTTTCGTTTGTCAGCAGCTTGTTTGAATTTTAGAGGATTTAAGGAGGCGTCGGGCCGACCTGCAAACTGAAAGTCAGCGTTATGTAACAGAGAGAGACGCTGGTGAAAGGTCTTCTGATTCTCTTCGATCAAAGGCTTTTAAACGGGAAGTTTGGACAAATTATTAATTCCATGCTGTAATTTACAGTCACGTTCTGTTTGCACATGCCTCGTAAAACCACAATAAGGCACTGTTTAAATTCTGCTTTAAAAATATGCAGAACATCCCTTTATTCTAATTAATAAGCTATTCCAGTATTTACTTCCTTAAACTGACAGTGCACTTTTTTCCCTCCCGGATTTTTCCCCTTAGACTTCCACCAGGTCTGAAGCTGCACTTAGATGTAACACACATATTCACGGTCGGGCCAGTTATCCAACAGCTACAGACGAAAAACTGGGGAGAGAATTTAAAAACTATAGCAGACAAACAGTAAATTGAGAAGGAAATAGGCCGTCTATAGTATCTGACACATAAAGGACACACTTGGAACAAAGGGACAGAAAACTCAGGCCAAGGCCAGCTGTAAGGTGGCTGCCCTCCCAACCAACCACCGTGTCAGGACAGGCACCCCAGCCTCAGTGAGCTAACTGTGCCTTCAGGCTGCAGCAACTAGGAAAACAGGAAATTACTGCACAGCCCAGAGAACCAAATAAAAGTCTACATTGGGACTAAACTGTATGCCGGCACAAGTGACAGCAATGTGTAGCATAGAGTGGAGAAAAAGTCAATAACACCTGCCAGAAAATCATTTTTGTGCAAGAAAAAAACCCAAACTTTTTTTTTTTAACATTTCCCACACAAATTAAAAACAAAAAAACAGCTGAGTGTGCTTAGTTGTGTAGTGCCGACATCTCAGTATGTTGATGTCAGGGTGCAATTAAATGAATATTTTAGGGAATTCTTTAATTTTATCTCATTGTTCTTTTTTTTATATAATAAAAAAATAAATTTTACCATGATCTAAAGTTTCAGTTTTTCTTAGATAACTCATGGTCCCAGTCCAGAGCAGGGCCCACCTATGAGTTTAACCACCACTTGTGTGGAGTTCAGACACTGATGCCTCTCTCTCTCTCTTTTTGTACAGACATGTCAACCCGAGTTGCCGTGGTAACTGGAAGTAACAAGGGCATCGGTCTGGCCACTGTCCGAGCGCTCTGCAAGGAGTTTGAAGGAGACGTTTACCTCACTGCCAGAAATGTGTAAGTGACTCACCTGGTGACACCTGGACCAAGTTGATGACGTATCTGCAGTTTAATCATCTCAACACTTTTGCATACCAGGAGCTTAAAACTAAAGCTCAGTCAGAGCTAACAGGAACTGCAACTGTGGTTTGTTTGTTCATCCAAGCTTCTTGCTTCAGGCTCTGAGCACGCACACGGAGTGAAAAAGGGCATTTGATGCATCATTTGACTGTCCTTCTCCACACAGTTGACCAACTAATGTGCCGTGGGTTTTGACGTTCTAGTGCTCTAGTGGTCCTCGAGCTCTCGGCTAGCTATCGAGCTGGTGGGTAGCAGACGTCTCCAAAAACGTCGAAGCACTTTTGCAAATATGCAATATCTTGATAAACCGAGCAGATATTTGAAATTTACACACCCACATTGTCGACTGAAAAAATGTTAAAAGTTTATTTTGTGACCCAGACAGATTAATAAGAGTCATTTTAAAACTTAGTAGCGGCCGCCATTGCCATTTGGCTGGGCCATGCTATGAATTCTGGGATATGGTGGGCCACGAAGGACACACCCAACCCATCCTTCAAATTCGGGGAAAAGGAGGACGCATTTGTCGGCTGCATTCGGAGGAGTCTACGAATTTGGACAGCCTTCGGCGCGTCGCTGTGACGTAATCGGTCTACAAGTTTTTGGACACGACCAGAACAATTCTGGAAGAGTATGGCGTTATTTTTGTGCCACTGTTCTGAGTGCACGTAAAAAAAAAGTTTGCACCTTAGTTTGCACTTACACCTGCAATTTCTTTTTACGTGCACTCAGAATAGTGGCACAAAAATAACGCCATAGAAAGAAGGCTGTAACCCATAATGCAGAGCTCTAGAGTGCGACCAAATTTTTCAGTGGTGCGACCAGCAGCTGTTCGAATAAAAAAAGAACAGAAAAAAAGTCTCCGCAACTCTGAAAGTCTCTGTGGTCAACAACATACACACATTATGCCCCTATCATGGTCTAATCCAATCAGTGACAGCCAGGGGCGGGACCTCTCTGATTGTCCGTGGTCCAGATATTTCTGTAGTCCTTCGTGTGTACATTTGAAAGTGCAGGTAGATAGAGAGAGGTGAGTAGTTTGAATAAAGCTCACAGATTCTGATGCGTCGACAGTCCGGACTTTGTGTTTACGTCTTTTTTGCGCTCGATTCTGAGCTGCAGGTTTTATCTCTCTCCAACCAAAATTCACTGAACCAGCAGCAAAAGAAGATCCAAACTACGCTTCAAATTTAATAAATATCGTTATTAATTCACTCTCACTTTTGCAGTTTTGCTTCCAAATCACACTTCATGTGCAGCTCTCTCTCTCTCTCTCTCTGTACTTCAAGAACAGTTTCCCATCTCAAATCTCTGTTTTCTGCATTATTGATTCACTTATTACCCATCAGTCTACTGTTGTTTGCAGTGCTGTCGGCCGCTGTCTTTTTTTAAATCTTTTTTTAACTTAAATGACCTCGGACAAGAAAGCCTAATTTCTGCTGTTCAATACTGAAGAAATTTATACTTTTTAAAATTATACAAAATTGCAGGATAATTTTAAGGTTATCTGCTAAAAGGCCAGGAAAATCCCCTTCATGTTTTTTGGTGTTTTATCCTCAGTTACGTTGACACAAAGGCATCTGCTATGATGCTTACACCTCTGGTGAAGTCTCACAAGTGTCAATACTAATAAATTATCAAAATAATAATATTTCTGACTGTCTGAGGCAAAATCGAATCGGGACCTTGTGAATCGCTATTGAATGGATTATAGAAATCAGTGATGATACCCAGCCCTATTGAGTAGTCTAGAGCCGACTGAAGTGGATGTAGCTGTGGGTAATAAGAAAAGATGAAAAGAACTGTTGATAACTTTTTTGTTAAGGTAAGGCCTGATCTGTCTGAAATTCAGTCAGTGCTCTGACACGGAGCCATCAATCTTTGAATGCTGAAAAAGCAACAGTGTATCCAGAAAACACATTATATGCTGCGATAAATGCACTGCCCAACTGTCCCTTCGCCCCATTGCATTTCAGCGGCAGGTAGCAGCAAACAGGTCGCAAAGGAGGCCGAGATGGTGATTAAGTTTAACATCGTCTACAACATTACCAAAGAGTGCCAAAGCACTTTAAGCACAAGCACTTTTTCAGTAATTTTTTATTTCTTGTTGAACTGTGCTCCAAATAAAGAACTTTGTGTTGACAAGATTGTTAGTTAATCATTTACAAATTAATATTGTCTGTATGGACAACAATTTTCCCCCGCAAAAAAGTGAACACATAAAACTGCGGTGTTAAGCAATGCGGTTGAAAAATTTGGGTGCGCCTAACTTTTGTGCTGATGTGCCTAAGAAAAAACGTTAGGCGCACCAGTGCAACCGCGGCAGAAAGTTAATCTAGAGCCCTGCCACAATGGCAATGATCAGTGGCTAGTGGATCTGAGGGCAGTCCACAGTAACCTCCCTGAACAGGGACCAGTAACCATCACCGTGGCAGACATCCAAGAAAGGGTCTCCAGAGTTGGACATGGTTCATGCCTACTGGCTGAAGAAGCTAACTTAACTCCACGAGCGCCTGGCAGCACAAATGAACCAGCTGCTAGTTGATGAGAGACACCTGGAATGGCTAACCGAAGGCTGGACAGTCCTGATACTTAAGGACCCACAGAAGGGGCCGGTCCCATCCAACTACCAACCAATAACCTGCCTCAGTACCACGTGGAAGCTCCTGTCAGGCATCATAGCGGCTAAGATGAATAGGCACATGGGTCAATACATGAGCGGGGCACAGAAAGGGATTGGCAAGAATACCAGAGGCACAAAACACCAGCTACTGGTGGACTGAGCAGTCGCCCGAGACTGCAAGACTAGGCTGACCAACCTGTGCATTGCCTGGATTGATTACAAGAAGGCCTATGACTCAATGCCCCACACCTGGATCCTGGAATGCCTAGAACTATACAAGATCAATGGGACCCTAAGAGCCTTCATCGGGAACTGAATGGGGATGTGGCAGCCCATAGCACAAGTTACCATCAAGTGCGGGATCTACCAAGGAGATGCTCTGTCCCCACTGCTGTTCTCCATACGCCTGAACCCCCTCAGTGAGATCATTGACAAGACTGACTACGGATACCGACTACGAACTGGAGCAGTTGTCAGCCACCTCCTGTACATTAATGACATCAAGCTGTATGCCAAGAGTGAACGAGACATCGATTCACTGATCCACACCACCAGGATATACAGCAATGGCATCTAAATGTTGTCTGGACTGGAGAAATGTAGTCGAATGATAACAAAGAGAGGGAAGGTAGTCAGAACTGAGGGGCTCAAACTACCAGAAGGCAACATTGCAGACATAGAGGATAGTTATAAGTACCTGGGGATCCCACAGGCTAACGGGAACTATGAAGAGGCCACTAGGAAAGCTGCAACCACCAAGTACCTGCAGAGGGTCAGGCAAGTCTGGAGGAGTCAGCTGAACGGTAAGAACAAGATCCGGACCATCAACACCTACGCCCTGCCCATGATCAGGTGCCCTGCTGGGGTAATAGGCTGGCCAAAGAAGAAGATAGAAGCCACTGACATCAAGACAAGGAAGCTCCTGACCATGCATGGAGGGTTTCACCCAACTGACCGCATGCTCAGTTAATACCTCAGGCAGCAGAAACTCAAGAATGAGGAGGAAGACGAGGAACCATCATGGAAGGACAGGCCCCTGCACGGTATATACCACCGGCAGATAGAGGAAGTGGCTGATATCCAGAAATCCTACCAGTGGCTGGACAAAGCTGGACTGAAAGACAGCACAGAGGCACGAATCATGGCAGCACAGGAACAAGCTCTGAGCACAAGATCAGGGCTGGGGTCTATCACACCGGGCAAGACCCCAGGTGCAGGCTGTGTAAAGATGCCCCAGAGACAATACAGCACATAACAGCGCGGTGCAAGATTCCAACTGGCAGGGCATACATGGAATGCCATAACCAAATGGGCGGCATAGTGTACAGAAACATCTGTGCCGAGTATAACCTGGAAGTCCTGAGGTCAAAATGGGAGACGCCCCCAAGGGTGGTGGAGAATGACCGAGCTAAGATCCTGTTTGACTTCCAGATACAGACGGACATAATGGTGGTAGCTAACCAACCGGACATAGTGGTGGTAGACAAACAGAAGAAGACGGCCGTAGTGATCGATGTAGCGGTTCCCAATGACAGCAACATCGGGAAGAAGGAACACGAGAAGCTCGAGAAATACCAAGGGCTCAGAGAAGAGCTCGAGAAAATGTGGAGGTCCAAGTGGTAATCTGAGAACTAGGTGCAGTGACTCCCAAACTAGATGAGTGTCTCCAGCAGATCCCAGGAACAACAACGGAGATCTCTGTCCAGAAGAGCGCAGTCCTAGGAACAGCTAAGATACTGCGCAGGACCCTCAAGCTCCCAGGCCTCTGGTAGAGGACCCGAGCTTGAAGGATAGACCACCCGCAGGAGAGGGGGAATTTGTTTTGTTTTTTTTTATTTCGAAAAACCTGGAGAAGGTGACACAGGTGCTGCTGAAGAGTCAAGTGAATATTTTCATGTTGGTACTTGGTATGCTCACGCTGCTATTTATCTCCAACGTGATGGGATGCACATTAGAGTAATGGGCTCTTCAATGCATTCCTGTGGGACACTGTCTCATACTCTCATGATGGAAATCCCTGAAGTTTGAGGTCAGATGAAAGTGAATCTGTTTTTCAGCCATTTATGTGTTCAAGCCTATAAATTGGTTCAATAATTGAATATATTCTTGCAGCAGGTATGTTACATCTTTAATGTAACCAAAGGAATGAGTGAAATGTGGCGCTTACAGATGATTTCAACCTGAAATTGTGAACACGTCTTGCTGCACATTTGTTCCATTATGTGTACAGCAAATGACCGTGGTGATGTGGCCAGGCCAGTGATGGAACTTCATCATGTTTCAGGGCCTTTAGGGACAAAATGAAGAGAGAAAGACTGAGAATCTCAGCTGGTATAAGGTGTAAACGATGAGATCGAAGACAAAGTGAATATAAATGAGGATGTTT